GGGTTGGATATTAATCGATTGAGGATACCTAACGAGATTGGATTAGGATGCAATGTAGCTGCCTAGCTATGCTCCCATCGTTAGAACAATATGCAAGCGAATGTTTATAAGAATGTTAAGAGCGCGTTGTGGATACTACTAATACACGAAGTTCATTAGCTGCTTACCGTTATCGGACCTTTTTCCAAGACAAACCCCCCACTATGTAACTGGTGGTGTCGCTACAGTCCAGATGACCTTCAACAGAAGACAAGTCTTTGTCTTAGCAACTGGCTGAATATTTGTCAAACAAAATCAAGAGGGAACAATTGTCTGGTTTTTTAAAAAGATTACTGGCCTTGAATACGATTGTACAAACCGAATCGAATCGATTGGCGAACAAGTTTAAACGATCGTTTTTCGATTAGCTGTAGATGCCAAATAAAATGCAATGTGCGTCACCACTCAGTTGAGTCAAAATTAATGCAGGAAAAGAAAACAAAATAGACATTCGGTGCCAGGCGCCGGGAACCGATGTGTTAACACGTTTTGTATACTTACCGAGGAGCAGGCATGCTCTACTTTTTCCGCCAAATCTTTGGTCAAATCAGCCAAGTAGTCCGGTTGCGCGAGAATGCTCACCGAGCTCAGGGTATTGACCCAATACTTATTCCATAGCAGATCCAGTAATCGTTTATCGAGGACAGATTTGAAGTGCGAAACCTCTAGAGCATAGTACTGTTTACAGTGTACACCAAAATCCTCTATTTTATCCATTGGTATGGACTGATACTCGGACGGGCTTTCGTCAGGAGGTCGGTAACCAGTTGGATAGGTGCGAAAAGCACCCAAGTTCACTATAAAGGAAAAAAATTGACGAGAGATTTTCGATAGCACTAGATAGCACAGTTGGGGTAAACAGCACTAAAAGACAATTTTACTTTGTGGAAATGAAGAAATAAATCCATGTGCGATTCGTAAGGAGTAGAAATTAAATGCTGGCATCTGCCCGAAGGTGCTGGCAAAATTTAAAATGTTTCTTCTAGGGCGGTGGTAGTCAAGTGGTTAGGTCGCCAAATTGTGACCCGGAAGTCACAGGTTCGAACCGCTCCACCGCCACCCGTCTTCCCCATTTCTGTATTTCCCCAGCCAGCCTTGTATGGCCGCAGCCTTCGTCCTGAAAGTTGACTGTACACTTGTATATGCAATAAATAAAAAAGGAGGAAAAGTACGTTTAAATTTTGATTTTTTTACATGGTAGGCAGCTTCGCTGTTGGCCGGTTCAATACAACGCCTAACCATTCGGGGCTTTATGTGGTTCACCAACGTAAGTTCCGGAGCTCAGGTTACCGATTTCCATCACTAAATAGCAGGTCCTTGTAACAATGGGAATTACCCCGTCTGCTGTTCATCACACGCAAGTGTATAATAAAAAAACGAAAACAAGTATTTGGCATTTGAACGTGTGCTTGTGAGCCGTATAGCTAATGCATTCTACCAGGACTTACTTTTAAGGACGGAGAAAGAAAGCGAACTTCTATGGTAAACACACAGAGTACACAGTCCAACATACTATTTCAAGCATTCTGGCCTGATAATAAGTGACAGCATGATCGCCATTGCTGTCGGTTCGAAGCCATGACCTTTATTGACTCCAACCATCCAGTTACTGAGTCTTTTGGCCCCCCAACCCGGAAGACGGGAGACACATACTCTACCTAGTCGCTCTGTGCATACCTTCATTCCTCGTCTCCACGTCATCTGCTGGCCTCCACGTGGCTTTTTCCATCCTTTAACAGCCACTGCAAACAAGGCGTGATGCGATAGGCGACCGTCA